ATAAAAGTGACAGTTAAGGACCTAGCATGGTAGCCTAATGGCTAAAGTCCTTGCCTGGCATGTGCCAGGATCCTATATGGATCCCAGTTCTACCATCCAGCTCCCTGCCTGTGGCTAGAGAAAGCAGTCAAGAATGGTCCAGAGCCTTGGGACTCTGCACCCATGTGGGAGACCCAGAGGAGCCTCCTGGCTCCTGTGTTTGGACTGACTCAGCTTTGGTCATTGTGGACACTTAGGGAGTGAATCAGCAGATGGAAGATCTTCCTCCCAGTCTCTCCTCCTCTTTGTATAACTGACTTTCCAATAAAAGTAAATAAGTGCTTAAAAACAGAGACAGTTGAGTGGTTAATTTGTGTGATTAATAACACAAATTGTTGGAACCAGACTTTCTGGCTAAAGTTCCGATTCTGCTACTTAGTAAGATAAGAGCCTCAGTCTTTTTATCTTTAAAATCGGACATAATAATACTTGCCTCATAAGGTTATTGTAAGGTTTACTTGAGTTAATATACATGTCAAGTCCTTAGAATTCTGTAGGGCATAGAGTGCTTGTTATAAAGATATTTTTAGGGGCTGGTGCTGTGGCATAGCATCCCAAAGGCACTGGGATCTCTTTTGGGCTCTGATTCAAATCCTGGCTGTTCCATTTCTAAGCCAGCTCCCTGCTGATGGCCTGGGAAACCCGGGGAGGATGGTCTAAGTCCTTGGGCCCTGTACCTGTATGGGGGACCCTGAAGAAGCTCCTGACTCTTGTTGTGGGACTGGCTCAGCTCTGGTTGTTTTTGAGTTAATCAGTGGAAGGTATATGCGCACACCATCCCCTCTCTGTATATCTACCTTTCAAATATATTTTTAAAAAATCTCTTTTAAAGATATTTTCACTTGTTTCCTGCATTACTTTCATTTGAAATTTGGACAGAAGTTGCAATCTGGAGTTTTTTCCTATAACTTTTAATGTGTAGCTAATAGTGACCCAACTCTGTCTAGGGAGTCTGGATGCATTTATGGTAGGCTTTAAGATTTCCATGTTCATTGCTTTTTTTTTTTTTAAACAGAAGGGATCCTCACTAAGTTTATGGAAATGCATTGTATGAAACAGTTATGAATGTATTTCAAAATGATCACATCAAAATAAATTTATTTTTCAGTTATATTTTCCATGAACTTTTTGAATTCACCTCCTGTGTCCATTTGTTCATTCAGTCATTCACATTTATTGGTCCCTTCTGTGTGAGCACTTACTGTGGTACTTGGATATTCAGCAAGGCACATCAGAGATATTCTGACATTAGTCTGGAACTATTTCTGTTCCCGAAATGGTCACAATGATTGGAGCTCAGAAGGAGTCTGGAACTTTTTCTGGTCATCCATCTTTCGCTGCTTTTCCAGGCACATTATCTGGGAACTAGCTGGGAAGTGGAGCAGCCAGGACTTGAACTGTTGCCCATATGGGGTGCTGGTAGCTTGAGCAGAGGATTAACTTACCATACCACAGCACTGGCACATGTACTCGTTTTTTAAAAAAAATATTTACTTTTGGTTTATTTCAAGTGCAGAGTTTTAGAGACAGTGAAAGGTGTGTGTGTGTGTGTGAGAGAGAGAGAGAGAGAGAGAGAAAGAGAGAGAGAGAGAGAGAGAGAGAGAGAGTCTTTCATCTGGTTTTCTTCTCAAATGGCCTCAATGGGCAGAACTGGGCTAGGCTGAAGCCAGGAACACAGAGCCAAGCAAAGAATTAGGAGCTTGTTTTGGGTCTCCTCTGTGGATTCAGGGACAAAACACTTAGACCATCTTCTGCTACTTTCCCAGGTGTATTGGCTTGCAGCAGCCAGGTAACAAGCTAGCAGTCATATGGGATTCCTGTCTGCAGGCAGCGATTTAACACTGTCACAATGCCAGCCATAATGGAGTTTATATTCTGATCTTTTAGCCAGCCAATCAATGTTAAGAACTTCCGTTTGTCCAGAAACTTGCCTCCTGACACCCCAACTCTGAACACTATTTATACGAACAGCATTTTGGAGCACATGTCTACTTTTCATTGGGATGTTTAAAAACTCACTTTTTGCTTTGAAAAATACTTTATTTTTAACTGAACAAGGTGAGAAAATTTGGTTTTAGGAACGGATGGAGAGTTAAGGTGCCTAATTTTCCTTTTTCCAACTGATAAGTTAGCATACCTTCGTTTTTTTAAAAGATTTATTTATTTTTATTACAAAGTCAGATATACAGAGAGGAGGAGAGACAGGAAGATCTTCCATCCGATGATTCATTCCCCAGGTGAGCGCAATGGCTGGTGCTGTACCGATCCAAAGCTGGGAGCCAGGAGCTTCTTCCGGGTATCCCACATGGTTGCAGGGTCTCAAGGCTTTGGGCCATCCTTGACTGCTTTCCCAGGCCACAAGCAGGGATCTGGATGTGAAGTGGAGCTGCCAGGATTAGAGCTGCCGCCCATAAGGGATCCTGGCATGTTCAAGGCAAGGACTTTAGCCACTAGGCGACCGCGCCGGGCCCTAGCATAACTTCTGTTAAAAATTTCATCATGAGTCATTCTTGGGGTTGGGAAATCCTGTTAGCGGTAAGTTTACCAGAATACCTCATTATGCTCACACTTAACACTGTGGGAAAGAGTGTAGTTCACCAGTAATATATTAACAATATGTGTTGAAAAATCAGTTCCTTGTTGATTGTATGCAAAACACAAATTTCTAATAGTCCTAACTACACTACTTCCTGTGAGGATTATGTAGGAAATGCTTTAGTCTGAATAATTTTTCCCAGGGGGAAGAACCTTCAAAATAAATTCACTTTATAGAGCGCGTGTATGAGTGTGTGCTAAAGAATCTGATTATTGTATAAATGCTGAATGAGTCACACATATGTGACTAGTATAATTAACATAATCTGAAGGAGGCAACCGTATCTAATTATATGAAATACCCTATATACTGTTGCTTGTAACCACATTGTTTAAAAATAAACTACCAGCAACAATGAGCAGTGAATCCAAAAGCTGAAAGAAAACAATGATGGTATAGTAAGTTTTCATGACTTGAAATGAAACTGAAATGCTAATTATCTGCATAGCTGCAGAAGAAACAATTGTCTCACCCTTTGATGGAACTAACTTGGACCATAGAAACACAGTGGGTTATTTCTCCATAGTTACCTTGACATTTGGTATATTCTTGGCTTTATTTTGCATTCACGACAGCCACAGTTAACTCGTAGTAGGGGTGGAATAATGTTATGTCCCCAGTGTTCTCCTAAGTGGTTTTGAGCCTAGGGCTGTTTTGTGTAGGGGTATCTCAGGTATGCGCCCATTTTCCAGACAATAATATCCATATCTGCCTCCTTCGTAATTTAAAAAATTTTTTTCTTGGTTTTTCTGTATTATTCCACAGCTTAGTCACACACTTTTGGGCACAGTGAATAGCTTAAATTTCTAAAAGACCCATTAGTGTTCTAGAAGAGTCAGTTGATTTCATGATAGCTTTTTCATCTTAATAGAAGTCTCTCCTTTCCTCCCTCTCCAATCAGCTTGACTCAGATCCAAAAAGACTATGTCTGACAAATGCAATTTTACATGGCGATCATTGTAAATAAAGGGGAGAGGATGCTGGCTGTCAGCATGCTGGCTGGCATGGAAGAACTGAGACTTTTTTTTTTTAACCGGTTTGAGTGTTGGGAATCGGCTGACTTTAATGGGCAAGAGCATTTCTTTCTTTCTCTCCCTCCCTCCCGCCCTCCCTCCTTCTCTCTTTCTTTCTTTCTTTCTTTCTCTTTCTCCTTTACAGGAGATGCACACACCTATGTAAAGTGACAAACTTTTCCAGAGAAACCTTATGTTTACTCAGCACATAAGTGACTTACTGCAAGTATGCACTCTTAAAATGTTAAACCCATGACTTTCTGTATCTTCAGTGTCCAACTTCAGTTGGTATGCGAAAAAAGAGTGTGTTTTTAAACTGATGAATTTACTGAGGAAGGGGATCAACCTTTGTAATGGTGTTGGTGAGATTTTTGTTAGTGCAACACAGTGGCATATCAACCAATACTGTCTGTGCTTCTCTTTCTCCATTCCTTCTTCACCTGTGGCTAAAAGGATCCATCTCAATTCCCCCGAGGGTTAATTTCATGTGTCTAATGAGTAACACCGTCCCAGGAACTAAACACATATTTTAATGAGTCATAATCTTGCCCAGTTCATACTGTTTTATGATTTAGACAGACAGAGAGAGAGAGAGAGAGAGAGAGAGAGAGAGAGAGAGAGAGAGAGCCTTCATGTTGTCAGGATAACAGCAACGGTGATCTAGTTTTTGGGGACCAGAGGGTTAATGAAGAGGCACGCCCATCAGCAACCAGGAGTGCCTAAGTCTGGGTTTCCTTCCATTCACAGTGTATTACAGTGAATGAGGTGAAGAGAGAATGCTACGATTTTCCTTCTTAACCTTACTCCTTTCAAAAACTAGTATATAAAGACATTCTTCTGCAGTAGCCTTAATAGCATTTAGATACATCTAGGTGGTCGTTTTAGATATGATAGGGTAAGTGATCTAACTACGCATTTAGCACCCTTATGTCAAAGACTGGAAATGATTTCCCTCTGTTCATTTCCCCAGTGTTGTGATGCACTTTTAAAAGCATTTTTAAAAATTTTAGAATGCTTATCTGAGAGCCTAATTGAGAAAAATATTGCATTAGTAAATTGCTCTGCTCAAGACGACTGCTGCTCTGTTTCTTTTCAGATTTTAAAACCCAAGTCCCAAATCATGGGCTGTAGTTAAGAGCTTCCAACAGTAATTACCGCTGTGAAATGAGCAGAAGTCCTTAAAAGGGTCTGCCGGTTTCCCTGCAATCTTTTGCAGGGAGAACAGCGCTGTATCCACTGATAACCCAGCTGCCTAGGAACTGAGTAAAGCCGGCTCCAAACTTCTCAGCTGTTGACAGGCTTGACTTGCTGAGAACACTGGTTAAATATAGCACGCGCGAGCTCAGCTTCTCAACAAAGTCATTGCTCTGACAGTGTTGTGAAGGGAGCAGAAGAAGAGAAACCTAATCTCAGAACTCAACAACACCTAGCAACAGTTGAAAAAACTTTTAAACAAAAGCCTGGTTGGGAGATACCGGACAACTTCCAGTTTCTGCTACCCGGGCTTTCAGGAGAAGCAGCTGCATTCTCCTTCACTTTACCCAGTTTCCTGCATGACTTCAGCTATTGGCTGGCCCTAGGAAAGAGAGTGGGAAAAGCTTTTTCCTCTGTATTCTTTTGGGCTGGATAGTTTTCCAGGACTCGAGTCTGCCTTGGGCTGTGGGACAAGCCACAGGGTTCTTCAAAGGATAAACTACCTTCTCAACGAACATACCCTTGGTTAAAAGAGCTGCCATCAGGTAAGACCGACATAAATAGCAACGCACTCTCTTTAGAAATTTGTTTACAGAGGAAGAGCATTCTCTCTGATTCTGTTTTGTCTGTTTGCCTTGACTCTTCCTGTTCTACTGTGGCATAACATAATTAGGAATTATAATGATCATTGTGAATTCGTAACAAAATCAGAAACATCATTTCATTCTCAGAATTGTAATGACTCTTTTTTTTAACTGATCATACAATGTTTCATGTTTCAATAGTTCTGGCAATATTTCTGCCAAGTTATCACTGTGTCAGGTAACCAGAAACATGACAAAGGGCAATTTCATAACTCCTTTTGCAATTAGGAAGGCTAAGCCATGGGGAGAATATGTCCCCTAGAAGCGAAATAACTTTCACTTACTGAAACCAGCTAAGCAGCTTGTGTGGTAAATGAGAGGAAAGTCCCACGTGGTGTTTGTCTTGCTGTGCTTTTACTGCTTTGCCTGTCTCCTTTTGCCTGATTCTCTGATTACACTGGTACACCTTGTGCTGGCTGTGACCTCATTACACTACAGTCGCCCCAAATGCTTCTGACTAGACACAAAACATCACTGGTATTAAATCACCACTTTTACAGCTGTTGAATATAACATGAAACATGTTTGTGATTTTTTTCAGTTAATTGCTTGGCTATATAAGATTCTATTTTTAAACTAGATTCATTAGAAAAACATGTTTTCAGAAGTTGCATGTCATATGTGCGTAATGTGTTTAATGGAGTGTGGAGGAAGTCCCCCTTTCAGCTGATAGCGAATTGTTCCTCCTTCCAGGAGCTGCAGGTAATTTATCACAATTGCTTAGCTCTGACAAGCTATTATAGCATATTGTGGGGTGGTTAATATTGACACCTGGTAGTCTTATGATTTTGCTGAGTTTTACAAAATAGTTATTCCTTTAAACAGACATGCTATTTAGAGTGAATGCTCTAGGCTAAGGAAAGTGTCAATGAAGATATAGTACCACATTTTAAAACAAATTGTTTCAGCCTATTTTTGTTAACAGAGGAATTTATCAAAAGCAAGTTATGAGCAAATTATTTGTTGACAAATTCAAATGTATCATCCTTTTCAGTAAAAGTTCTTATTTTAATAAAAGCAGATTAAAACTCATATGCCAGGAAAATGAAATAATACATTCATTTTGCTATGTATTATGTTTTGTGGTTCTGATAACTGGATTCGTTTAAAAAGTAAATAAAGCTGATTATAGATGATGAATACACAAGAATAATAATGCAGAATGTACTCTTGTGACCTTAGTATCAGAGAATAAGGCTTCTGGTGCTTTACTAGAGATGAAACATCTTTTTCTTGAAAGAGTTTTGAGAAATCAGGTCTAAATACTTTGCATTTTTCTTGTTTTTATCCTATGAAGGGTCACATTGTTGGCTTGTGAATGTGTTTGCGGGGCCAAAACCTACCATTAGTTCTAGGCGTGTAATTTCCTTTGGAATCAGTGGGACAATGTGCAGATAACTGAGTACAGCATTTGGCTGTGGGTGAAAGCCATGCTTGCTGATGAAGTGAATTTCCGTGTGTCATTGATTGTCTTCAGGGTTGTAAGTTTACTCTAAGAGAATCAAGAATAGCGATGGGTAAACTACAGGCTTTCCTCTGGTAGATGGGCAAGCCCTCCATGATGAAGCGAATCTGTTCTCCCTCTTCACTCGAGTTCATATGTCTGTGTTGTTTGGGACTGACCTTTCCTCCATCACGCAGTTGTCAGATTCCATTGCTGTGTTTCCCACCACACTAAGGCCTGTTCTCTTCAGCCTTAGGTGTGGATTGTCATAGGCTGCTCCTCTAGCACCCCACCCCCTCACTGCTGTCCAAATCAACTTGCCTGTGAACATGAGATTGCTTTTCCCAAAGCATTGCTATCCTTGTCTATCTACCCTTTCATTATCTACTGGGACTTTCAGTTGCTGCCAAACACCTAGGCTGGGTATTTTGAAAACCATCTGTCATCTGGCACTTACTTAATTTTTCCAACCTCACTCCCACTCCTCAATAACAAGGTTCTTCTGCTTCAGGTATTTCAAATTATGGTCTGTTCTCCCAAAACATTCACAGTACACATTTCAATATCCCTTCTTTGACCATGTTATTTTTCTAGTATTCAACACATTTATGCTATGTCTCGGTAGAACCATATAGCTCAGTGTCTCCTACTTTCACAGTCATTTTCTGAACCACATGTTTTAGAAGTATTTCTCTCAGTTCATATAGTCTGGAAATTTGTTAGAACCAGGGTACTTTGTATGAGAGCTTTTTTTTTTAGTTTCTCATGATGCAATTCCATAGGCTCAGGGATTTCCCCTTCCACTCTTTCCATCCCTCCCCACTGTTTTCTCTTCAGTATAGTATAGTATAATATAATATAGTATAGTATAGTATAGTCCTTCAACAGCAGTCACAAGTACATCATTCTGCTACTTATTTAAGTATATCATGACATTGCAGGTATACACAAGGTACATCTTATTGTTAAAATTTGTATTTAACAGATTTATTGGGAATCTATTCCTTTACTTCATTGTTGCACGTAGTAGTTCAGGCTGGGATAGTCTGAAACCAGGAACCAGAGATTCATTCTGGGATTCCCACCTGGGTGACAGGGACAATCGCTTGAACCATCACCTGTTGGCTCCCAGGTTGTGTATTAGCAGGAATCTGGAATCAGGAGTGGAGTCAGAACCCAGGCACTCTACTGGAATACAGGTGTTCAAAATAGCATCTCCATTGCTATGCCAAATTCCTACCCTTCAAGCCATTTAGGTCATAGCCTGTTATGTTTTTGAGTCATGAATTTAAATCTGTCTGAACGTTAAAAATTTAAATGTTATGATTTTTTTTCTATTTCTTTTTTTTTAAAGAGACAATTCTCAGCGTTGTCATCACTCATTCATCTGTAGCTCAAGGTTTTGAACAGCTTCTTTGCCAAAAGAAAAATATTCTCTTTATATTTTAAGACAAAGAGGTTAAATTTGCTCTGTTTTAAAAAAGAGATTTATTTGAAGAGCAGGATTACAGAAAGGGACACACACACATACAGATCTTTCATCTGCTGGTTCACTGTCCAGTTGATTGCATTTTGCACAGATGGACTAGGCCAAAGCCAAGAGGCTGGAGCTCCATCAAGGTCTCCTGCCTTGGTGGTAGGGGCCCAAGCACTTGAGCCATCTTCTACAGCTTTCCCAGACTCCTTCACAGGGGATGACAGGTGTTCCTGAATAGTCCCTATGGATTTTTTTTTTCTATGAAATTTGTTGAATGTGTTGTCTACTTATTAAACAATGATTTCCTTATGGTTATAATATTTCCTTATTCTTTAGGAGTGAAACTTATGCATTTATACATTCTAAATAGTGCCAACCATATTTTGTGTTGCTGACAGATGAACATTTCTTCCTAAAACTGGTACCTTAAGATATAGGATTTTAGGGCTCAGCATGGTGGTTAAAGTCCTTGCCTTCCATGTGCTGGGATCCCATATGGCCACCGGTTCATATATCAGTTGCTCCACTTCCCTTCCAGCTCCTTTCTTGTGGCCTGGGAAAGCAGTAGAGGATGATGGCCCAAAGCCTTGGGTCCCAGCACCCATGTGGGAGAACCAGAAGAAGCACCTGGCTCCTGGCTTCAGATCAGTTCAGCTCTAGCCATTGTGGCCACTTGTGGAATGAACCAGCAGATGGAAGATGTTTGTCTCTCCTTCTCTCTGTAAATCTGATTTTCCAATAATAATTTTAAAAATCTTTAAAAAAGATATGGAATTTTACTTAGTCTGTTTAATTTACCTTTCATTTGTTTGTCTAATTTTGCTTGCTGAAACTTGATGTTTTTATATGAAATGAAGAGGAAAAGTTAGATTGAGATTTTAATGGGAAGCATTAAGAGAAAGATTTGTAACAATTTGTTGGAAAGATGACATGAAAAGTCTACAAAATACATTTATATATGCATTAGTTTAAATACATGTAGATAGCATTTGACTACAAGATGGCTTAATACATTTCTTCAACCTGAGTCGAAGCATAATAACAAGGATATGTTCATGGACAAGACTTCAGAACAAGACAAGTTGCACGGGCAAGCCAGATAATCTGGATTCCAATTTTACTTCATTGACTTTGGGCTACTCTCTCTGCCTCAATTTCCTTATCTGTAAAATGAGGGCAACATGATGAGGTTACTTTAAAATGTTTGTGGAAAATAGAATTGAAAGATAAGTTTATTTTAGTACAAAAATTTTTGAAGTCCATGCATATTGAGGGAGGATATCTTCAAAAAGTGAAAGGAAAACTTGTAAAGCTATATGTGGATTTCAAAAGTTTTTGGTGTCAAATAACATTTTTAATTACATTTTCACAAACATCTTGAGCCCCTCATGTTTTCCCATAGAGTTACTTTGAACTATCAAAACAGCTTGAGCAAAACCCTCGGAGTCTGCCCCATATCAGGGACCTGGGATGGGTGGAGAATGGGTGGGGCTTCTCCCTTAAAATCCCCATTTACCTCAGATATATGAAGGAAACAATGTGGAAATAATAGTCTTATCCACTTTCGTGTAGCCCTTGAGCCTTTTATCCTAATTAAGTATGTAAAGATTGTCAAAAATATAATAAAAAAATGGAAAAGTTAAAGAGTTGCTTTGAAGACCAGATGACTTAATGCACTTTACAGTTACCTAGTAGATTTTTCTATACATTTATTCTGGTATTGTTTTATTACCACATCGTAAATGCATGTGTTTTTTTTTTCTTTTTGCTCATAGAATTCATGCACATGGTATTTTGTGAACTTCAGCTCATAGATCCTAGGAAAAACAGAAAAGCATTATTTAAATTTGGAAACCTGTCTGGGACTTACTTTATTACTGAGTATTCTAAGCAGTCACATTGAACAGCAGCCTATAATTTAATGTGGCATTAATGTTTCAAACCCTTTCTTATCATAGATTAGTTTGCTGCCTCATAGAA